ACAGTAGACACGAGGAGAAAGCTTTTTCGTTGGAAGTCCATCACCTGCTTGTTTCTATGGAGATGTTATTGATCTGCCTGGAATGTTCCACAGTATGACATTAAACTTCATGGAAACCGTCTGACCTCGCAGCATTAGGGCCTGGCTCCACTGCACACGTATTTCGGCCTATGCGAGCGTAAAAACTGCAACTTTTGGATGCGTAACTTTTAGAATGCATGGGAAAGTGGTGAGGGCGGCGCGCAGTAGACACACGTATGGAGCAGAAAATAGGATCCATCTTATTTTTTGACGCTCTGTGCAAGCGTTGGCATGTATCCCCATCAAAAAACACAGAGAGCATTAATCTTTTGTTGTATTTGTGCGTTTACCATCAGCACAATTTTCTCCTGAGGCTGTTTCTGTGTGAAAGAGCCCAGGTCCAGAAATGTTACTGTTAATTAGTGCTTTAAAATTTACTTTTGAAATCCTGGCGTTTGCCGTGGTACAGAAGGTAAATACAGGTCTGTTCAGATGTTTGATCGCCTTTCCCATTGACAAACACAGAGCCAGTGCTGCGCGTTTACGTCCTGCTGCAGCTGTCGGTGGAGTCGCCTTTGCATTGACGCACGGCTCTGGTTTCATGAAGTTGCGCGGGTAAACGCTGACTCGTGCAGTGGAGTCAGGCCCTTAGGATTCGTTCACTCGACGGGAGGCGGGTACTTTTTTATTTAACCAATCGCTGCTATTTGGTCGTGACGTATGTAATGCACCACATCCCGTAGGAAGAAGGACAATAAAGTCTTTCCCCTTGATAAAATTCACCAAACATTCTCTTTGTTCTGGCTTTAAATCTTCGATCTCGGGAATCGTTGCCAACACATAATGTCTGTCTTCATCTACATCCATCTCGACGCTTTGTTTCCTGTTGTGTTGTACCACAAAACGGACCCAGACAGAAGCTTGAGTTTGACGTCATGGCTTCACAGCTCTTCTCTGATTGGTCGGTGCACCGTCTACAACTTCCGGGGTTCTTGCAAACCATCTAGTGAATTCTGATTCCTGACCTAGTTGCTGGAGAGAAATTAAACTGAGCGGAGGCACTAGGTGGCGCCAAGCTGATTGACATTAAACAGCTCAGCCTTACAATTTATCAGTTCGAGGGGTTTATCTCTTCCAGACCAACGGTATCGTATTCTATACCTGAGAATATGTTTTATAATCGCACATAACTTTCCAACTATAAAATATAAAAACTTACTTTTTTCCCCTTGAAAAGATGAGAGTTGCTTCTTTCTGAGCATATTTCCGGCATTATTCTACATCACACACACTGTGTATAATGATGTAGTGCA